CCTTCTGACAAGCAAAGTCAATGGGGGAAGCCAGGTTCACTTTACTACTGGGTTACTCATTCAACAACTGCAGTGATTCATTTAAATTTGGCTGCAAAATTCACTTAATGGGGCAAAGCTCACTTAACAAAGTTCTCACTTAACAACATAAATTTTGGGCTCAATTGTGATTGCAAGTCAGGAACTACCTATATTACTTTTCCTACATTTTCCTAAAGAATTCCAAAACTGTCCATAAGCCTTTGATGCAGCAATTCCCTCTAAAACCTCAGGAAACTAGATAACACTTGTTATTTCAGCACATTTTTTTATTCACAAATATTTGAAAGAGTCACAAAATATTCCTTTTTACCTGAGAATGCAGATATTTTCAATTTCAGCAATGCAGAATCCACAAAAGTTTTCTGTTGGTGGAAGAAACTCTTAGGAAGAGTTTGAGGCACAGCATTCCTCCTTGGTCTGCTTTAAAATTAAGCTCAGAACACAGCCCTATCATCCCAGCACTCAAGAATAGCAGAAAGGATTATACTTTCCATATTACATAGGTTGCCTGGAAACAACGGCATCCAGAGTTAAAAAATATAGGGAAAACCACCTTTTTTTGCTTTAGCATAGCTTCTTTAAATTGAGTTGAGAAATGCTGGGGGACCCCTACCTGCTTCAAAATTATATTTATTCTTTGAAAAACCTTTCCATGAAAGGTGCACTACTCTTAATCAAGAGCTGACTGGACCCAGGAGTTATGTGCTAGGGCAGAGATCTTCAAACTTGTCAACTTTAAGACTTGTGGACTTACTCCAACTCCTAGATAATTCTGGGAGTTGAAGTCCACAAGTCTTAAAGTTGACAAGTTTGGGGACCCCTGTGCTAGGGAAAGGGAACCTGCATCAAAAAGAAATGTTGGTTTCTTTTCATTAAATATAAACAAAACATAGCTTATGTGATTATTGTCATTATTTATTAATTCAGTGTTATTACTGACTGGATAAGCCTTTCTCTCCTTGTGGCATATTGTAACAACTTGGTAATATGGAGGTATCTGGGAACTATAATTAAGTATTTCCAGATGCCTGTTAACTCTGAGGCCTTAGGCTATCGCTTCTGATTTAGTCAACTTTAGACAATTCTTTTCTGCAGAGAAGTGACTTCACATAGTCAGGATCAACAATGAAAGTCTACGGCAGATCCTGGATTCAAAGGTTATTCAGATTGATGCCTGCCTACCTCACCAATCCCCTTTTAAAATAAAATCTAACATTTTATTCCTCACCAAAAGTAACTGGCTGGATCCGGCCAGTTATGGTACATTTCCCCACAGTGTCTGAGAAATCCATTAGGAGAAATGAAAATCGTGGCTATGATTTCTGCCAATCATATTTCCAATCGGGGCCAAATACAGTTAACATCCGAGTGGAGGCCCCTTTGCTTAAACATGCAAGAGATTCTCTTCATGCACTCAGCAACACCTTAGAAGCTTCCAATCAAAGACAATTTGGCACTCTCCAGATGTTTGGTCTTTAGCTCCCATTAACCTCAATCATCATAGCCAATAGCAAAGGCCTGCGGGAACTGTAATCCAAAATATCTCTTTCAAAAATGAAGGCATGTAAATGTTAGTTTTAGAGGTAATGCTAATTCAGTGTAAGACAACCTGGTTAATTCATAGTAGTAAAACATTGGAGGAAGCACCCTTTTCATTAAAAAGTATAAAGGCTTGGGAGTTGCAACTCCCTTCATCAAATTTATAATTTGACTGATTAGGATTTAAAGTCACTTTTACTCTCTACACTGGCTTTACCTTTAAAAATGATCTAAAGATTACCAGTTTTCTTTTAATTTTGGTTTTTTTTTTATTACCAGTTTTCTTTTACTTTTGGATATTTTTATTTGTACTACACTCACTTTTGGTAGGTAATTTGTGCTGCTCTTGTTATTGATTTAGCTTCTTTCAACCAGCCCTTTTGTTGAAAATATGGCATTAAAATTGATTTAAGGTGTTGTTAATCTCTAATTAGAGATATAAGTTTCTACCTTAAATAGCCTAGGGATGGCTACTGTCATGAAAATTATTTCATTGCATGAAACCAACAAATAACACGTCAAGTTGTGAAGGTGCACTAATGCCTCAAACACATCAAATAACATTGACGGACGACCCTGCTCTATTCAGACTCCCCGATCATAGAATGCAAACAACAGAACCTTTTGGCAGGGATTTTTCCCAGAGCTGAGGCCCACAAGATTACAAACTCCCACAAATTCATAAAGATGAAACTTGGGACCCTGTCCTTCTGTTTCCTTGGCCCCACCAAAACGAAAAGGCCTTGATCCTTTCAGTTTGAGTAAACAAGACATAAATAGCCCAAGGGAACCTGAGACGACTACACAGAAAGAAGGGAGGTTCAAGGACAGAAAACAATTTTTGTCTTCCTATAAGGCTTTGGCTAATTTGCAGAAGATATCTCCTGTAATCTGCTAGGTTAGCACCTTAGTTGCTGACCAGCTGATCGTGTGAAGGAATGATGGTTTAGCTCACATCCTAGTTCTTCCAGTTGAATGGACCAAGCCTGTGTAAAAAGCTTTGCTGAAAAATTGGGGGGGGGGGAACCTCACCACTATATGCAGCCATAGATAACACACCCTCAAAGAGACCCACACTGATTCATACATTGTGGAGCAGTGTGGAACTAGCTCACTTTGCTGCAGAATTTGGCCTTCATGGCTTTCAGTTGATTTTTTTTTGGTGGGGTGTGTGTGATTAGATATCTTGGAGTCCTGCATGCGATCCATAACCCTCTTTTTTCTAATGAATATGGTTCATGGATCTAGTAACATGCTAACACCTTAGTATGAGAAACAATATTAAAGAATATGATATGAAAAAGTACGTCAGATTTGTTAAAGTAGAATAATGACCATTAATTCCTTACAAACATAGACTGGAAATCTTACGTTAGCTTTGGAAATAAACTGGTTATGAGCCAAATCAAAGCTCAAAGTACCTTATTTATTGTATACCATATGCACCTCATTCATTAAAAAGACACAACCACCTGCAAAACTTGAATTCAATGTGCTTGAATTCATTGAAAATAATTCAGGTGTTGGACTGCCAATTGCCACGGGTCTTTTCATGAACTTGCAGAAATACCAACATATGAAAAAAATGCCCCACTAATTGTACAACTGCAGGACTGTAAATAAAATGACAGGGATTGTGTGCACCAATTCCTGTATGGAAAGCTATATGCAGGTAGTCCTTAACTTACAACTATTCATTTAATGGTGATTTAACACCATAAACAGCTGTGGAAAAAAGAGTTGAAATCTGTAAACAGTTACAACGATCACACCACACCATCTCTGCACTCGTGATTGCAATTCACACGTGCAGGCAATCAGCTTGCATTTAACAACCAGCCACAAGGTCCTGCAATCATGTGAGTGTGATTTGTGACCTTTTTTTTTGCTTATTTCTAGCAAAAAAATGTCTACTGGAGCTGTTGAATCCACTTAACAATTATTAAATTTGCTTAACAGCCATGAAGATAACATTAGCTGTAAAAATTGTCGTAAAATTGGGTCCAACTTGACTTATGGCTGCAAGAACGTATGATGGAAAGTCCAGTTCCAATTGTGGTCATAAATTGGAGACTACCCGTATAAGTGGCTCCAGCATGTGATTTCCACATAAAATAATCCTGCAAGGCAATACTAATACTGATACAGAAAGCTTATCAAAAAAGCAAAGTGGATGAAAAATCTTACAGTTGAATCACTTTTGGTCTTAGGCATGCTCATGTCATCACTTGATGGTTACTAACAGAGTACTGCGGCATGTGGATCTGCAACCAATATTAAGTGACAGTCACAATATGAATACCAGTTCAAATGCATTAGTTTTTTTTTGTGGTGGACTCAGAGGTTCAATTCAGCTTCCTTCTCACCCCATAAACACTGAACTAACACAGAAAAATCAAACAACATTTATACATATACGAACCAGCCTTTCAAATGCCTCTCTACTAGAACTTCAAAACAGCAGGATAAAGTATGTGAAATGACTTTTCAAATTATCATTATGGATGAGCTAAGGAGAGAGAAAGAAAAAATATGAGGGGTTCAAAGCAGACTTCTGCAGGAGAGATTGAAAAAGAGTAGCAATCCCAGCTTCAGGGAACAAAGATTCACCCAACACAACCTGGTTAGTGAATTTACCCATTTTGGGGTTTTGGTTCATACATGCGACTTTGAATTAACCAAATAGACTGGATTTGCACATATCAAACCAGGGGGGATGGAGATTGAATTAAACAAGCATAGCATACAGTACAAATGCAATGCCTAGATTGCAACTAACCTGGTTATGTATATCATATGAACTCAGCCAATGTGAATGTTCAGACTGGGTTGAGCATATGAAATAAATAATAACTAGGAGATGTCGCAGAGAGAGATTGCATTCATCAGAAGTAGGGTTGAATCCCAGATCTCTTCACATATCATTCATATACACACCAATCTTCAGACTATCAGACAAGAATGATGACCAGAGCACCTTTGTGAACCTGCAGGGTGACTTTTCCTCTGTCTTTAGCAAAGAAAGTAAAAAACCAAAGTAACATCCCACCACCACTTACTCATAGCAAGAGACTCAGAACCTGTTGTTTTAGAAACGGGAGGAAGTTAAGTAGAGGGCATTCAGAAGAAGGGGCGCTGCTGCGTGGAAGGAAAAACAGACCGGTTAGGAATCTCTGGTGGGTCCCTCGGTTAATTTAGAAGGTCAGATGAGGACAGAATCGAGATATTCAGGTTACGGGCTGGAGGAGGTTAGCTTAAATTCAGGTAAGTTGCCCTTGTGGATTGGGTTGGTGGGAAATCCTAGTGGAATTCCTGTTTATAAAGGGAAGAGACGTTATACACATGCCGAAGGAACCGACCGCCAGAACCTCACTAGAAAGGTCGCCGGGCGGGAGGAAGCGCAAGGAATCGGGACCCACCTTCATAATGCCAGCGGCAGGGGCAGGCTTGGCCAGAACTGGGGGGTCCCTCTCGGCCGAGTTGTCGCGGCTGGTACCCGCCGAGCTGCCCGAAACGGAACGTGGCGAGCTCAGGTCGTCCGAGGCTTCTACAGCGGCCGCAGCACCTTCTTCTTGCGGCGGGATGCTGGGGGCCCCGGGCCGGGGCGAGCCCAAAGGAAGGACACAGTGAGTCCCGTCCGCCATCCCCTCCACGGGGCTCCCAGCAGCCGCACCGGCCCGGCCCGGCAGGAGTACTCAGCGGCTGCCTCAGTGGCGCCCTCCGCCTTGTGCGTCTCCAGCCACCGAGCGCTCCCGCTCTTGCTCCGGCGTCAGCGTGCCTTGTCTCGCTTCGGTTTGCTCTGCCTTGCCGGCGAAGGAAGGAGGGTCGGACGCAGGGAACGGTCGAGGAGATACGCTGCCGCTGCTGCTGATGCTGCCGCCGGGGTAGAGGGATGGCCGGGGCGGGGCCAGGCAAAGCACGGCCGCCCCTCTCAACCTCTATCTCCAAATGCTCTGCGGCCCCGCGTGGTGGAGCCGCGCGCGCGCCTGTGCAAGCGCCACGCCACGTCTCGCCACAATTGTGCCGGGCGTTAAACACGAACGTGCACCTACAAAGGAGACCCCCCGCGTTAGTCTTAATTCATACATGCAGATCCAGTTCTCACTTGATGGTTGGAAAACCAAGCCATGGTTTAGGAAACGCCAGGCTGTCCCAAATGAATAGTAAATTAATGTTTCTAAAATATGTACGAGCACACCTTTCTTGTGTGTAATTCGAATGCAATTCTTTTCAGTTAAAACAGTTTATACGCTCAGCGAGCAGCTGCCGTCGGGATCAAATGACTTTCATGTCCCTGGAAATAAACCCGAGACACCGCAGGCGACCTAACCTAAAGCTGCCAAGAGAATATCAGTGTATCCGTTTAAGGATCGGGCCTTCTAACAACACTGGGCTTGAGCTCCGCTCAAGCATCGATGTTTGGCGTCCTGTAGAATGATGTTCTCCTGTATTACACACGTTCACGGGGCAAATGCATAGAAATGCAGATATCTTTTCTCCCATTCCGGTGTTTGTTCTTTAAATCAATAGGGTTGCCAGTTAAATTAGGATTGTACAATCGCAGGAGACAAAAGTTTTTAAAGAATTTCCCTGGGGCAGTTTCCTATTTTTAACATTTTTACCCACAAAGGAGATGCTTCTGTGGAAAAATATACAGATATCAGTCCACAGACAATTTCCTAAATTGATTCCCACCAGGTAAGTAGGAAAATAACACCCATAGTTTCAAAAGTAGTATGAGGAGCAGCCATAATGACTGGGAACCATGGGAGATGCAGTCCCACACATTGGAGCATGGCACTTTGGAGACACAACACACTAAGTAGACTAAAATGGATCTTATAATTTAGAGTCTAACAACTTGTGGGAGGTAGCATTGCCTAATTAAGCCTCTCTCGGTGAAGCAAGGGCATCACATTAAGTCATGACATGTTTGAAATCAACAATTCTGTTAGGACATTATATAAAATGAACCTGTTGAAGCAAATAGTAGCTGGGGAAATTTTCAAAGTGCAAATAGCTTTGGCACAGGAAAAAAACAATTTAGATGTGCCTTGTCCACATCTTGACACAATCTGTGACCCTTCCCCACAAACTACTTTCTCCTTCCCCTCAATTATGGAAGGATTTAATCAATAATCAACCATTATATCTTGGTCCCCAAAAGAAATGTCTGTTCAAGACTGCTCAGGATATGCATAGGATCAAAACCAACAACTAAGTTAATAATGACTTCAAGTATTACTTGTTATATATAACTATTATATTGCATATAACTTTTCTTCCTCCAGATGAAGATGTCCAAAGCAGCTAACAAAAATCATAGAGGCAATAGGAAGTAGGCATTCAATAACAAAACAATAATTAGTTTGAAATAAAAATAGATCAAATGTAAATATGAAGCTGGCAACTAGGATAAATTAAGTACATTTTAGCTAGGCTAAAAGTAAAAATTATATGCCATAAGTATAATATGTGCTAGGCTTATACGTAGACCTAGTACAAGCCATAATGATCCTTCATGCATCATATAATATCTTGCAAATGAAGGCAAATATACATTTCCAGGATAATCTTGCAGGATCCAATCCGGGACCAGAGATTTAGTCTTCTGAGCTGTTGGACTTGTGCTGGAGCTCTGAGGATGGTTCAGGCATGAGTCCAAAAGCTCGGAAGACTAAATCTCAGGACCTAGATTGGATCCTGCAAAATCCTGCTAATGCAGATTGTGTAATTTATATCATTTGCAATTATGAAATTTATTTGCCTCCCTTCTATCCAATGACTTTGGGTGCTTACAACATAAAAAACATCACAAGATATTATCTGCTGTGTTATTTTATAATTGATGATTTTATGTTATAACATATCATTTGTTCATGGCAGATGCTCATAGCATCTAGAACACATTAAGCCACAAACCAAAAACTCATATTCTTGCTTAGTATTGACTCAAAAGTCTTAATGAAACTTCCAATATAATTTATTACCAACTAACTTAACCATGTGAAACTCCAGCTTTTGGATTCTGTAGCCTCCTTATAATTAACCAGAGTCACTCTTCAGCGTATCCGTGGAAGATAGGTTAGCATAAAGACATTATGAAGTGTAATTATCTTAAGTTTCATTTCTTGATGAAGTCACAATGGCCCTGGGTTCACCCTAATCCCAAACCAAATCCAGTATATCTGATTTCCCATCTAATGATGATTTGTAATATTTGATTGACACCTGAGTACATTGTGTGAGCCAGAATAATTATTCAGCAAACCATAACTTAGCAGCACAATGTGTTAACCAAGTTGCCTGCATAACCAACCTTCCCCTCAACTTCTATCATCTTGAATACACAATGTCAAGTTTGCCATTTCCATTCCCGAGAGTTAATTCCTGACAAGTAAGTAGCTAGGATCACAGCAGCATCTTACAAACAGATGGCCTGTGACTTCAGAAGGGCAGTTCCCTTAGCAAAGCTGCTTCGTGTTTGGAATCCTTGGAGGAAGTGTTTTCTGCTGATCCCTATCTCTGCTGATGATCTCCTGTAGCCATACTGGAGATGAGCAATTCATTCATCAAGAGCTCTTCATCAAGACTCTCGCTTCCATTTAAGATCTTGTGACAGCCCCAAAATTGTGGCTGCCTAAGGATAAAGTCTCTTCTCCATACTCCATACTTTGGAGGCTATCTGGCTAACTGCTGAATATTATTTTTACCCTGGCAAAAGGACTAAATTTCCCACAGCATCAGTTTAGTGGCAGCAAGGCAGACCATGTGGCACATATAATGCTGTTCTAGTGTGCTTCCAAAGCCTGCTGCCTGAAGCATCTGTTTCACTGTTGAATAGCAGCGCTAGCTCTGATTGAAAGAGATTATAACTATGATAGTCCAGTTAGACCCAGCTATATTATTATATTGGGATGCTGGAGGGCCCATGATAGGAAATATCTGTAAATCTAATGGCTTCCTGTAAATCAAGACTTCCAGATGGCAAGTAGCTTCATTCAAAGCATCTCAGTAAAGGATGCAATGCTGACATTTGAAATAGAATCTAGAACTGAGCTTTGAGGAAGTGATTCTTGATTTTCTTTTGCCCAATTATTCCAAATAAACCGCGCGAGCAATTGTGGGTGCACCTCGGTACACCCACGTTACACCTATCCTCCGCGAGCTGCACTGGCTATCGATCGGTCTCCGGATACGCTTCAAAGTGCTAGTC